TTAATGCACAATCTAGAAAGTGTTCTGTCCAAATAGCGAAGTTTTGAGAATGTATCTTTGTCTAGGAATAGGGAAGTAGCATTTTGTCTCTGGCTTAGTTTTAGTTACAAAATGTCCATTCAGTGGAAGCATATGATTTTTGTAAACTAAATATGGACTCTGTAGGTATAGCATGTTAAATAAGAACAAATTGGCCATTTGCCTACAAATAGGTTTTTCTATGCATTGGGCATTTTAAACTCAATTTTAAAAGTCTCTTGTCAAAGTGAATGCATTTATTATTTCAGCAAATACTATTAGGCATCTACTCTGGAAGGCACTGGGATATTTCCATGAACAAGATAGAGAAGGTGCTGGTTCTCATGGCAGATACATTTCTGTGGAGAAACAAACTATAAATAAGTAAACTACATAGTAATAATAAATAAGGGTATTTGATAGAGAGTGATGGGGATGGGATAGGTCACCAAAGTATTGGATGGCAGGGGAGGGCTGTTTGAGGAGGCGTTATTTGAGTGGAGAGCTAGATGGTAGTTGGTTGTGTAAAGATTTGGGGAAGAGAAAATCTGGCTTAGATGGAGCTTGATGTCTTTGAGGAACAGAAAGTGGGGCTGGAGAATAGTGAGCAGGAAAGAAAATGGTGGAAGATGAGATCAGAGAACCAGGCAATGGCCATATTACATAGGGACTGGTAGGCTGTGTTAAGTTTGAGTTTTCTTGTAAGAAATTTATTTGGAGGGCTTTTAGCAGGAGAGTGATATAATCTGATTTATAGTTTTAAAAAGATCACTGTGGCTGCTCTCTCTGGAGAGTGAATTTCAGGGGAGCAAGAGCGGGAATAGAGAGGTGAGTTAGAGACTCTAAGGTGGCTTGGACTAGCGGTGGAAGGGCCTTAGTGGTGGAAGTGAAGAGGGGGTGGATGGATTCGGGATATACTTAGAAGGTAAAGCCAACAGCCTGCTGCTACAATGAAATGGGAGGTGAAGGAAAGAGAAGATCCAAGAGTGAATGTAAGTTTCTTCAGCTTCAGCAGCAGGATAGATTATCCAGCAGAAGAGGGGTTTGCCAAGATTGGCCGGCAGACCCAACCAGGCGTGTCTTTGTAAAGTCATATTAGAGCACAGCCTTGCTCATGAGCCTATGTATCACGTGTGGCTGTTTTTACACTACAGTGACAGAGTTAAAAAGTTGTGACAAAGACTGCTTGGTGCAGTAGACTAAAATACCATTACAGAAAATGTTACTGACCCCTGGTATCATGATTTTCATGAGGATCAAAAAGTCTGAGAAATGAGCAAGAGTGTTTTGTTTTGCTGGGTGCTGGGGTTAGGAGGAAATAATAATTCTTCTTTGGGTATATTAAAATTGAGATGCCAAGATGCCTCTTAGTTATGCAAGTGGGGATATTTCCAGGGCAGCGGGAAATACCAGTTTGAAATTCAGGGGAGAAATAAATGTTTGAGTCATCTTTATACATATGGTATTTAAAACTGAGGAATGGATGACTGGTCAACTAGAGAGATGACACTGAAAGAAAAAAGAAGATCTAGACCCAAATCCTGGGGCATTCCGTAAGTTAAAGGGTGCTCAGGAAAGGGAGAGCCAACAAAACACTGAGAAAGAATGGCCAGTGAGGTACAAGAAAAACCAGAAAAATGTTGCAGAAGCAAAAAAAAAAGATTTTTCAAGAAAGGAGGAGTTGTCAGTTGTTATCAAATGCTACTGAGAGACTGCTGAGGATGAAGAAGCAATGATTGGATTTGGGGACGTGGTGGTCATTGGTGACTGTGACATGATCAATTACAATGAAGTGTTGGGAGCAAAAGCCTAGTGAGGGTAATAAGCTTTGGAAGAGAATTGGAAATGAGGGAATGGAGAGTGATTGTAGGTAATTCTTTAGATAAGTTTTGCTGTAAATGGGAAAAAAGATATGAGACCATATTAGGGAAGGCTGTAATATCAAGGGGAGGTGTTTAAGATGGAGGATTCTGAGTTTGTTTGTATAGAAAGGAAAGAGAAATAGAAATGATCCAGGAAAAGTGGGAGAAATTGACGATGAATGAGAGACAGCAAGATAATCGCATCACAGAAGTGCTGACGGAATGAGATTCACAGCACAAATGGAGTGGCTGGCTTTGGACAAGACCCAGGACACTCCTTCCATTGTAACAGGAGGTAGAGGAAAATAGGTTTAATCTGATTGCAACTTCGAGGTTGTATCTGATTGCTCCTGTTTTTCACTGAAGAAAGTGATGAGGTCATGATCAGCTGAGAGTGAGGAAGACTGGTGCTAGAGGTTTGAGGTGAGGAGGAAAAAGTAAATTCCATCATGGAGAGTAGGAAAACGTGCTATGACAGTAGGATTGCTATTCATTGTGATAATACAATCAGAAATTTTATGTTTGCTGATACATGTTAATGATGATGTCAGCTGTTTAACCAAAAGTAAATGTTGCAGTACCCATCTTATTTCCTTTCAGACCCAGTGAGAATATGCTGATTCGGGTCAATAACGATGGCACTTACTGTGCAAATTGGACTCCGGGGGCTATTGGACTCTACACCATTCATGTTACAATCGATGGCATTGAAATAGGTATTTTTTTTTTTTTAAGTTGTGAGTTACTTAGTGCAAAGAACTAGAATCAAAATCCTCTTTCTGTTCTAGTTTGTCCTTTAACATGTATCACAGACATGGACAGATTTCATAACTTTTAGGGGGCTTCATATCCTCCTTTATAATGAGTACTTAATTCGTGCATTGTTAAGGTCTTAAAATGTTGTAATAATTTATGGGTCATTGTAGCCCTCATGATTCCTTCCCTGCATTCCCTGATGTGGCTGGTCAGGTTCGATCTCCTCCGTGCTGTGTTATAACCGTATTCATGCCTCATCTCCCTACCCCGTGGTATGTCTGTCTTCCCTTCCTGGCTGTGAGCAGACACCTCTTTCATCTTTGGATCTCCCAGTCTGGCTCAGTGCCTGGCGTATGATGGCTGCTCAATAAATACTTGCCGAAAGGATGAATTTTTTTTACCTACCACTAACTTTGAAAAATATACTGCTTTTCCTTTGGGCATTAATCTTTCTCTTTTCTTTATTTTTAAACTATCCGTATAATAGGACAATAGTAGGACAACAAAGCTCTAATAAGTGTTTATCAATATGAATTCCTTATAACACTGTCTTTCCTAATGCTCCTCAAGCAAAAGGATTCCTATGATCAGGCAGATTTAGAAAGCCCAATATATTGTAGTCTCATCTTAGACATTAATACAATTCATATTATCATATTTGGGATTCTAAGAAGTCTTGAAATTAAGAATCCTCTCTAAATTTGTTTAATCCTTATCTTGAGAACCTTACATGTAGGGAAGAGGAGACAGGTTAGAGATAAAAGTAATACTGATTAACATTCCACCAAAATACCCTTTGGGAAACTTTCAGTAGTTTGTTTTTACAGTGAAGATAAAGAGGTACTTTACATTGTTGTAACCATAGATGTATAGAATATACATTAATGTAACTATAGGATCAGATATGTTAGATTCATCTATACCATCCTAGAGACATTTAGTGGCAGCCTTTGCTGCACTCTTTTATTTCAGCATATCTTTAAAGCCTTTAGTTCAGCAAACTTTCACTGGTTCTGGGCAAAACATTGTTCTAGGTAAGACAGTTCCTGGCAAGTGTTGAGAACTTACTGATGATTGTCAGGTAAAACAGCCAAACAAAATCACATGAAGTAGAATATAAGTAGTGACGTGCAAGGGGCACACATTACAGCAGTTCAAAAGTGGAGATAGTCAAGAATGGTTTCTTCTTGGCTAATAGCGGGTAAAGGAAACTGATACAAAGTAGATAAGAAAAATCTACTTATATTTGTTTTCTGGAAAGACACTGAGGAAAAAGATTCATAGTTACTTAGAATCATTCATTTTGTTCCCCACCTTCTTAGCTTTCTCCAGAGGTGACCAAACTGTTAGTAGACTAGGATCTTGCTTGACTGCAGTCAAGGACAGATAATAATTCATTAGAATAAGGAGAATGATAATAGCATTTAATATATATCTAAAAAATTTTATACACACCTTACATATATTTATTTTTAAAATCATTTCATTCTCACAGCATCTCAGTGAAATAGGTGCTATTCTCATCCCTATTTTATAGATTAAAAAAATGAGGCACAGAGAGTCAAACAGTTGGTGGCAGATGTGGGAACAGCCGAGTCTAACATGAGAAGCCCAGCTCTTAGATGCCATGCTGTGCTGCCTGTTACTCATGAGATGATCGGTATAGATGACGAGTAGTGTTCCGATTGGGTGTTATGAGATAACGTTTGATCACACAAGGGTTTCTTGTTGATTATTTTGAATTTTTCAGTATAATTTTACATAATCCATAGCCCCTCCTCTTTTCCTTGAACCCCTGAGACACCCCTTTGGAATCTTAAGGTCATTTTTCAGATATTTCTCTCTTAGTTATTAAATATTAATCACCTTAAGAGGACAGAATTCAGATATTTGTTTTAATTGTTTAAAATAGCCTGTGAATGTATATTAAGTTAGGTTTAAGGGTCCTCCCTCCCTTGTGTTCTCAAGTGTTACAGTTCCCTTCCTTTTCTTACAGATGCTGGCCTCGAAGTAAAAGTAAAAGACCCGCCGAAAGGGATGATACCGCCAGGAACTCAGCTGGTCAAACCAAAGACTGAGCCTCAACCAAATAAGGTTAGGGTAGAATGAAATCAGAGCATGAACTGGTCTGAGATTTATTAATTTTCTTCATTGATGCTTCAAGGTAGCCATCAAACACCTCATAGTTTACTTTATTTCAGTATTCGAATTCTAAGTATTCCTAAATGAACTTGAACAATAGTTCATGGTAATTCTAATCATTTCTCAATTGTAGAACCTGTACTTTTTGGTTTCTTTGTATAATGCTATAGTAATTTATAGGTCTTGTGTACTTTCTGTTATTGAAAGTTTACAATTGGGACTTCCCTGGTGGTCCAGTGGTTAAGACTCTGGACTGCCAATGCAGGAGGCCCAGTTTCGATCCCTGGTCAGGGAGCTAGATCCTGCATGCTGCAACTAAAGATCCCGCATGCTGCAACGAAAGATCCCGCGTGCCGCAACTAAGACTTGGTGGAGCCAAATGAATAAATAAAAGCTACCCTTTAAAAACAAAAGTTTACAATTCACAAAACGTCTACCGAAATTGAGTGTATAAAGTTGACAAGGTTAACGTATCCTGTGCTGTTAAAAGAAAAAATTCATTTCCTAACATCTAAAGAGTAAGCACTATAGGAATTTTAGTAAACTACTTATTAAAAATGAAACGTGGATAATAGAATTTATATACCTTCCTGAAAGGAAAAAAATGGCTCTTTTCTCCTTTTTATCATGTCTTCACAGTTTAGAAAAGAAATTATAAACGTATATTAATAATTTTTTTTTCAATAATTTACATTTTTACACATTTTGAAAAAACAACATTTTTTTTAAATGTTGTTTTTATAAATGTTTTCTCTTGTTGTTTTTATAAATTAACCACTGTTATTTGCACAGGGAAACCAGCTACAAATAATTTTGGAAACTTTCTCAGAATTATACTTTCAATTCTGTTTAATTTTCTCTCTTACCACTTACTTATAAGGTCTCTGTTCTGTGATTTCCCCTGTATCACCTGTCTGTCTTTGCCTTTCTCAGGTTCGAAGATTTGTGGCCAAGGACAGTGCAGGGCTCCGTATCCGTAGCCACCCTTCCCTTCAGAGTGAGCAGATAGGCATAGTGAAGGTCAATGGAACCATCACTTTCATTGATGAGGTAATTTGTAAGGAAACACTTGGTAATAAATTTTGGACAGAAAGTTTTTGCATTGTTTGCACAGTGTAAGTTTACTAAATTGTTTGTTAGAATGTGTTCTAAGCAGTTTGGGTAGTGTTTGGGAAATCATTTCACAGAATTTCAAAATTCTGTTCATTGAGTTTCAAACATTGCATTCATTTTTCTTTATCAATAAAAAAAGTAACTAAAATTATATTTTTAGCATAAAAGGAATTCACTTAACATGGTAGTCAGAGCCTGTACAAGGATTCAATGAAAATGAATACAGTTTTTCTTGAATTTTTAAAATGTGGTTTGTTTTTGAATGTGTTTATTATATTGCCTTAACTTTGGACAGTACATTTTTCTAATAATACAGTCAAGTAACTTCCAATTATGAAAATCTAAACTGAGGGAAAGAAAGTCTTAAGTTCTTTTGGGAAACATCTGATTTTATGTTTGAAATATTTATCTTAAAGTGTGATTTTTTTGTGTGCTTTTTACTCCTAAGTGACATTGTTTTTTACAATCTCACCATGTGAATTATCATGTTGTTTGGCATTCCTTGCTGGTTTTTTCCTTAAAGCTTCTCCCATTCTTACCTTCTGCAAAAACTAGATGCTTAATCTCCATGTCCAGCATTATTTGCCTGCTTTGTAGCCTTTCAGACCTTGCTACCCTCATAGGAGTTACAGGAGGGCGTGGCTTGTTTGTGTTGCGTGTATTCCGTAGATCCACAATGATGATGGTGTGTGGCTGAGGCTGAATGATGAGACGATAAAGAAGTATGTTCCTAACATGAATGGTTACACTGAAGCCTGGTGCCTCTCTTTTAATCAGCATCTTGGGAAGAGTCTTCTGGTCCCTGTTGACGTAAGTAAAAGGCGGTTTTAAAAAGCTTTCTAGGTATACTCTGTCCTCATTACAGGGCTTTCTTTAATTAAGGCTTCTCAGTTCTGAGGTAAACCACAACTAAATAACTTTAAGTGCTTGAATTCTGAGAGCTTCTGTGTAATAAAGAGGGAGTTTGGCAAGGCTGAGGACCTTACTACTTACTATGATCCATCACAAGCAGGAAGTAGTAAATTAAAACTAGGCCTGCTGAATTCCTTACACAGAGGTAGGGAACGAGAGCGGTTACATTTTTTTTCCCCTTTCTTATTCACACTACTGTTTGGAATGAATTCCAAACTAAAATTTAAGAATTCAGTGTTACTATCCATTTCAGAAATATGTATAATGTATTTTTTTTATGTTGGCATTTTGTAATTCTGTGTTGCTTAAGTTTGAATCTTTCTTTCTTGGCATGTGATACTGCTATGTTAAAATAAGGTGGATTTTTAGACTTGTGGTGCTGTAGTGTTCTAGTTGAAGTTAAATCTTAGTGTCTGAGAGAATTCACTGAGCCTCTTTGACAGTGCAGTAGAATACTTAGAGTGTTCAAAAGTTTTCTATATCACTAAATATGATAGGAACCCACAGCTCTTTTTATAATTTAAACAGAAATATGTGATTTTTTTCTTTTTCATTTCCATCAAATGTATTCCTTATGACACTGCTAATGAATAGAACAGGTAAATTTTTATTTTGAAAAAACCTTAGTGTTTTAAACAGTTGAATTTCTTAAAAATCAGTATATAAAACTAGCTCTTTATATCAAATCATTTAATATATTGTTTGTTTTTCTCCTTAATAGTTCAGAGTAATGTTCTCCAAAGGGGTGTATACAGATGATTCTTTGGGAAAGAAAATAACAGAACTTCTATTTAAATTTATTGATTTCATTCTTTTCTCTCTTCCTTTGTATATGTTTTATAATAGTACAGTGGGGAGAGATATATCTATCTATATACTTTTTACAAATAGATGCGTGATAAAGAAAGTTTGGAGAGTGTTGGTCTACTGCTTTTTTGATTTTTTTCATCTGTGGCTCGAAAGTTGGCCTTAAATGGTTTGAACCCACCTCTCATTATGGTAACCAAATGTTCTTCAGGATTATGAAAATGATATTTTAAATGAGATAATTATAATAGCCATTTTGTTTATGTCATTAACAGCATATTTTTAAATTTTTGACCAATTTAGAGTTTTGTGTATTTTAAGGCCCTAATAAGGCATTATATTAGATTATATTATCTTTACTACCTTCCCCACTTCAAAATTTTCTTCCTAATTCCTTTGTTTGCTCATTTGAGGAGGTGGTTTTGGAAGAGGAAGATATTCACACAGATAGAACAAGAGAATAAACAAAGGTAGAAAGGAAGAGCAAGAAGTGTGCTGTGTGTTGAAGTTCTGAATCCCATGGCTTCATTTTGGACCACTGCTGTTCTGTTATTTGATGCTTTTAAACTCTAGCCAAGAGACAGTTTTTAGTAGGCAGTCTTGAGGTCAGAGAGAGAGGACATAATAAAGGTAAGAGGGAACGCTAAATGGAGTGAGCCGAACAAATACTCGTTGATGACTTTTCACTGGTATGTGAATGAGGAGATTATCACTGACTTATTTGAAAAATCCAGATGAAGAATACTGGAGATAGAAAGTAAAATGAAGTAGTTTTTGATATTTTCTAGCTTGTCTTTATGTTGAAGAATGACATGAGTTCTCTTTTAATGTTAAGTAACTCAGAGTATCTGGTATCATTAAGAAGGCTGAGGTTTTTCTGGTTCCTTTATTTCAAGGATGGTAGTGACTTGAGATCCTTACAAATTAAAGGAAAGATGCCAGTAGAAAAGGGAGACATTAAAGATGTAGATAAGAAACCTGAAGGCTGAAAGAGGAGGAGAAAATAGAATTGAGGGCACATTGGAGAGTTGTTTCTGTGAAGGAGGAGGGGGTATGTATGGCAGTGGGTAAGTTTTTAGGGTTGAGGGAGGAAGGGAAGAGGTTGAAGGAGACCGTGATTTCCATATAGAAGGGAGAAAAGTCATCTGTTGAGATTGAAACAATTGAGTTAAGCTAGAGAGTTTAAAAATGCCATAAAGATTTGGAGTAATGTTTGAGAGAAATAGGAGCAGGATCTGACAAAAAAATTACTTGTTTGGGGATTATTGGGCCACTGAGGACCCAGTGGGACCACTGGATAGATCCATTCTGGATACCCCTCCTCTCCCATGGCCCTAAGTATCCAGCATTAAAGGAGCCAGGAAAACAGATGATAGCATTGGCTGGAATTTCCTGAGCTGCTATGACAGGAAAATAGGGACAAAAGGGAATTTCAGATGCTGATGAAAGAGCAATTGAGATCACCAACTGTGGGATCCAGCCTAAGGTGGAAATGTGAAAGGACAAATGGATGGTCCAGGGGACTTAGAGGACTTAATAAAATAGAACAATATAGTGAGTGTGCTATACTTGAAGAGCTGGAAGGAGATAGGCAATTTTTGTGATAACATAGCATATTTGAATTTGATTTCATACTTAGAGCATTTTATTGAATGAAATGGCTCATTAATGTGGCTGTGAGAGGGCAGCTGAAGTATGTTGGAAGTAAAGGTCATTGGAACTGCCCAAGTCTAAGAACTAAAAGGCTAGGCAGTTGGATGATATCCACATCGACACGAAGACATACCAGTGATGGCAACACTGTGACCTGCAAGGTTTGAAAGAGAGTTTGTGTACGATTGGAAGAATAGTCCCATTAGATACAATATAAAGTCATGGGAATAATTAGATGTTGGATCAGGAAGAAGCCTAGAGTCGTTTTGGTATAAAAAGAGAACAGGTAGATGACACAAGGGTTTATATTTTATGTGGTGACCAAAGAGGACAGAGGGGATGTGTGACAACTGGCCTAGGGCTTCAAATAGATCTGGTATAAAGTTGCTTCAATGAGGGTGTTATATGAGGACCCACGGAGTCAGAGCCTGGCATAGGCAAGAACAGGCTAGTTTTCCAAGGTTTTGATTTTAAGGACCAGGACAGGCCTCTCATACAGTCAATAAGTTTTTAATGAGTACCTTACTCTACAGGGCAGAGCATGATAGGACATAGAGGGGATAATGATTCCATCTCATCTCCTCAAGGAACTAATAGAGCTAAACAAACGCATCTTGCTGCTTCTTTCCTTTACATCTCTTACTTCATTTACTACTAGAAAAATGCTGGCCACCTATTCTCCCTTTTTATACTTCAGTTCGTTTGTGAGTAGATCAACTATAAATTATGGCTAACCATTGTGAAGCACTACTCAATTAAAAAGAGAAAGCTAGGAGATTGGAAATAAAATTAGAAATTATCGAGGACTAA